CCCTGCCCACACACAGGGGAGCCTCTCAGCCAGGAGCCCCTTTCCCTCTTGCCTGTGCCTCACCCGTGTACCCCGAAGGCTCCAGCCTGGGCAGGGTTTGCCATTCAGCACCAGGAAGCAAGCACAGCCTGTTCGTCACCCATGCCCCTGTCGTGGCACCTGCCCACTCTGTACCCRGGGGAAGCCAACCCACCATGTTCAGTGAGGGCTCCATGTCACACCAAAGGCCCTGGATGGCCCAAGAAGAACTCTGCATCCTTTTGTGAATCTCTGAGCTGGCAGGCTGAGTCCCAGAGCAGCACACCAATGCCTTGGCTGGGTTAGGCCTGCTCCCACCTTTCATATTTCTGGCCACAGATTTTTGATGATGTTACAGACACGGATATSCAGACACAGGGCCTGTCCTGGTATCAGGAAGGGACAGTCTCAGATGAGCACATTGACTCTCCCAGGACAGCAAGGTGCATGTCAAGATGTGCAGGGGCCACTCCAAGGATTCCTGTGAGTGGCAGGAGCTTGCAGCCATCCCTGCCAGCCTGGGGGATTGTGCAGAGCTGCTGCAGCCAGAGAGAAGCACAACAGCACTGCCCCACAGGATATGCCTTAGCTCGAAATACARCATAGAGAGGCAGGCATTCCTCAAACAGGGCAGGTGAACACATKCCTTCTGCAGATAATCCACAGGAATACCATGGGGAAGACAAAATCTCTGTCTTTTCTTCGTGCTCAGGTATTGATTAAAGGCAATTTTGATTTTTGATAACCAGAGCACTGCTGTTTGCTGGTTAAGAGCTCGTATGAATTTTTTTTTGGCTCTGGATTAAGAACATCAGAGCATGCCTCAAACGTGGATGCAGTTTCTGGTTTTTACTTTTCAGTTGGTACATACAAACACTTCAGCTCTGAACTACAAGTAGCACATAAAGGACACAATTCAGGATTAAAAAAGAACCACACTGATTCCACTTGACTGAAACAGAAAGGTTTGTAGAAGGGACCATAGATTCAGATTACTTCTTTTGCCATATAGAGGAAAATTCCATCAAAAGCCACACACAGAGACCCTCAAACACAAAGAATTCTACCAGTGGCTCAAGGAGCTGCCCTTGGCAGCAGCCTCCTCCCCCATGTCTTTGCTGCACTGGGTTTGCAATTGTACCTGTTGCAGTCCTGAGGGATGTATCAGTGAGCTCTTGAGCTGTAGTGACACAAACCCTCCCAGCAGGAATGCTGCTTGTATGCTGCAGCTTTTACCTACAGCATCTGAATCCCCTTCTGAGCTCCCTGAGGGCTGGAATAAATTTAATAAAGGGTCTCAAGAGTGAGAAATTGAGATAAAAAGAGAGTACGTACAGGGAGAGGGCGTGCAGTCTGCTTGGGAGTGGGGGAGAGAGAAGCAGTGACAAGAGCAGCTTGCTCTCTCCCCTCCTTCCTGGCCCCCACATCCCCAGGACTGAGAGCCCACTGTGGTGCCTGAGCTACCACAGGGACCTTGGGCACCCACCAGCGCCTGTGGGCACCAAATGCTGGGTCAGAACCCTCCCAGSTGCCTCAGTTTCCCCACAGGCCCCGCATTTACAGCCCTGAGCTGGCTCCACTGTCCAGTGGCCAACACTCACYCCCGGACAGCCCACACAGACAGCACCAGCCACCAGCACAGGGTAGTGTCACATTTAGGGACACTAAGCTCTTCAGGCAAGGGGAAGATGTATCTGTGCAGTAATAATGAGCRTCAAAGCAAATTGCAAAAAGTCCGGTTAGAGCGCTGACTTGCCAGCCCTGGGCAGCATGCTGCAGCTGCGTGCGAGGACAGCAGCAGGTGACCACCCCATCGGAGCCCCGGCTGCCACCCCTCCTGTCCCGGCACCTCTGGGTCCCCGCTGCGTCTCCAGGTGCCGCCGACTCGGTCCTGCCACGGTGCCACCGGTGCTGCTCCTCGCTGGGGCCGCTGGATCCTGCGGGAGAAGATTGCTCAATAGGTTGCTCTGCGTGCTAGCACAGGCCACCGAGGGACGGCGGCATTATCAGCCCGGCTCTGCCTTTACAGCCTGCTTGCTGTTTGCTTCTGCCCCYCAAAAGCAGAATTAATTGCTGGGCTCGAAAACGCAGATAAATCAGTCAGTTCATAGCACGTTTATTTTCTGTAGCGGTGCACTGGGCTCCTGGCAGCTTCAAACAGCCSCAACACCCACTCATGCTACAAGGAGAGTAAGGGTGGGGCTCTTGCCAAAGACTACCTGCAAGGAAGGAGTGTAGGCAGGGCAAGGTGGGGGCTCAGCTACAGCAGCAACCTGGAGCCAAATGCCATCTCAGCACCGCTTTTGCTCCCCTTCAGCCTTTAAGGTGAATGCSAAGCCAGATCATTGCATAACTTATCTTTCTAGAGTTTCCAAAATAAATGCCTGAAAGACAGGCTAGAAAGAGGAGGCAGAAAACTGACATTCTGAGAGAAGAAATGCTGTTTTATACTGTAGACGTATTTACAGCAAACTCTGTGACTGTCTACAGCAACAGAGAAAATAAATCACTCAGTCATTACCAATATGCTTTTTTTGGTGAAATGGTAAAGCAARCACAAAGCTCAAACTAGAGTTGGGCTGCAGAGGACCCACTTTTATTCTGTGCTTTCCCACACATGGCCCTGGTCCCAGGCTGCAGTGCTGCTCAGCCATCACCATCAGCTGAGGCCTTTGCCAGGGAACACGTAAATCCAGGTAGTGA